AGGACAGGTTAGGGAGGCGGGGACAAGCTGGGCTGGTTTTGGGATGCGGTTGGGGGAGGGGAGATTTTGAAGCTTGTGAAGTACAGAGGAAGTCCATGGCTGCTCGGTTTTTCCTTTCACCCTTTCCAGTGAGACAGTTCCCGTTAGATAACACAGCTCTTAGCCAGCCCCTCTCTCGCACAAGCTTCAAAATCTCTCCTCCCCCAACTGCATCCCAAAACCAGCCCAGCTTGATCCTGCCCCCTTGACCTGTCCGTCCTCCCTGGACTGACCTATCCCCTCCCTACCTCCCCACCTACACTCACCTTTACTGGCTCCACACCCGCGTCTTTGCTCTGCCTGTCTCCTCTCCACCTATCTTCTCCTTTATCCATCTTCTATCCGCCTCCCCCTCTCTCTACCTATTTATTTCAGAACCCCCTTCCCCTCCCCCATTTCTGAAGAAGGGTCTAGGCCCGAAACGTCAGCCTTCCTACTCCTCTGATGCTGCTTGGCCTGCTGTGTTCATCCAGCTCTACACCTTGTTAATCCAGAAGTCTTATTCAGTTGTCTTACATTTTATGTTCATTACTTAAACTGAAAATACAGTATACAGGCTCTGCCAGATCACTGGTTTGTGGATAATATAGTGATGATGCGATATGATATAATTTATTATATAAGTTGTACATTATCATAAATTATGTACATCCTACAGAATTTTGCAAACAATGTTGTACCTTTTCATTTTTTTTTCAGTCATTGATTTTGTCCACGAAATAGGTAAGGTTTAGGGGAAACTCATAACCACAATTGCACTGGCGACCCAAACCGAAAATGTTCAGTCTCAATTGTACCTGCAACAAAAGTGAATATATTTTAAAACCTTAACACAATTATACTAATACTCAGATGAAATAAGTGATTGCATAGAATTAATGGACTTCATACCAAAGTTCAGCTCTGCTTGATAAACAGCCATCTCACTTCAGAGTGTGACATTTGAGGCTCCCAGCTTGCTCCAGACGTTCAGTATGCAATCAGATTTGACACCCTGTTACAGTACTGACATTATGGGGCTGTTTCTGCACTGTGAAGGGTGCCTGCACTACAAGTGAGGTGCTAAACTGAAAGTCAATCTGCCTGTTCTGGAAGATGTTAAAGATTCTGTAGCCTAGGTTGCAAGACACAGGTAGTTTTCTGAATGTGCTAGCCAACATTATCGCATCAAACACCAGTTGTCCGTGCTCTGGGCACTTTAACCCCAGTTTATGTATTAAAATCCTTTACCGAAGTGCTATAGTCAATGAGACAGACAAAGGAACGTAGAACTCGGTTTGCGGTTCAACTCAATTTTATTAACAAAATGTTCCTTTATTAATATGCCATGTAAGCATTTCCCAAATTCCCACAATATTTACCTTTATCTAGCTCTGTCTACTTGGGAAAGGATATTACCCACAATGATCTACATGTTTCAGCTGAGCCGTCGGAATCTCCTTCTGCTCCAATGTAGGGCTGACTCTCTTCCATGAAAGTGGGTTTCAGATGGATCAGGGTGGATCTTCTTTCTATCTCCAGGTGGTCAGAACTTTGCTGCTGGGCCTGGTCGTGTTTTCACCAAGGCTTCACTGAGGGAGTGGCATCCAGATGTACGTTCTCCGCCCCCTCCCCCAACCCCGCTAACCTCGACTTTCCGGAAAGTTTTGTGGTCTTTAACCAAAGGGGTCATGAGCCTGGTTCAAATTATCCAATAAGGTTGTTGTAACAACACCCTTAACTGTTGCCATGCTGGGAAGTGTAAAGTGTATGTTCTCAGGCATTCAAGATGCCAGAACATCTGATCGACAATTCTCAAATACACAACCCTCGGACTGACTGTAACTTGTTCCCCATGAACAATTGTAAACTCTTTGATCTTGGTTTCCACTGTTCTCTGTAGTCAATAGCTGCTGGCATTTGTTTAATTTGGCCAATTTTCTTGTCAGGCTTAAGCAGAAATTGTTGGAAAAGCTCAGCAGGTCTGGCAGCATCTGTGAAGAGAAATCAGAGTTAACGATGGCCCTTCCTCACTGGACCCAAAAACGTTAATTCTGATTTCTGTTCACAGATGCAACCAGATCTGCTGAGCTTTTCCAACAATTTCTGTTTTACAGCATCCGCAGTTTTTTGAGTTTTCTGTCAGGCCTAGTTTCTCCAGCTATGGGTCAATTTAGAATGTCCAATTTTGAACCCATGATCACTTCATCACACACCATAATAGATTAGTTGCTATGAGGGATTCTGTCTTATGTAATGACTGCTATTTGGCTACATAACAATTACTATTTTTATTGTATACAAAGTATTTTAAGATGTTCAATTTAAAAAGAATAGGGTGTTGAATAAATACGTAGATTTTAATACATTTCATACTTTTACGAACATTCTAGGAAATGTTTTATTAATAGTCATGAGCCTGATAATGAGTTCAAAACTCCATTGCCTGCAGTATAACTTGCACCCATTCGCTCAGCGACTACCTCCCACCAGGCTGTCCGAGATCTGTGGACTCCTTCAAGTCTAGACTCTTGCCATAATTTATTGCAAATACCAGAGAACCAGACCTGCAACATGAGCCTCTGGTGAGTGTATATTTTGATAATTAATCATTGTGGGAATGCCAGTAGGCACCATCCCTTACAACGTTCATATCTGAGTGAGTAAAGCCCCTGTCAGGATATGCAGTATGATGAACAGCTTTTAACAGGATTTTATCTTAGAAAAACAACTTTGCTAGGGCCATTCTTGTGCCAATCCTCACTTCAGGCAATAATGCCTGTGTGATCTGAGTGAGGAAGAGGCTGGAATTGCCACTGCGAAGCTCATGAAACCTAAGTTCAAAAGTCTGTGACCTTGAGAGAAATGCTATTTAACTTGAAATTGCATTAACACAATGAAATAAAAATCGATCAATTAAAATATTTGTCTGATTGGTGCTGTAGGTTTGTAATATTATCAACAACATCATCAAAAGTGGTCACATAGCCCTAAAAATCTGAGTATTTCTGCTTCAGGAAACCGGTCTTGAAATAGACTACACAAAGCAGATAAACTTCTTACCCGAGTTTTGAAACTGGAAGATAGAAGACTGTGCCAATATTGTCATCACTGCTCAATTTTTACGCCAATGTCATTCAACTCACTGGCAGCAATCACTGTTTTCATGTAGTCTGTCTGAGCAACAAGGGATGAACTCAAGCAATTAATTATTTGCAAAATGTTTATGGAAATGTTACAAGGAAGTGCAGGATTTTTTTTAAAGTTAAACGGGAATGATTTCAACAGAAAAGGGTAGAAATTCCGTGATCCAAAGGCAAGTGGAAAGGTGCAGAATCCCATTTGGGGGTGGTTTTGTGACTCCAGTGGTGTAGATGGTGTAGAGTTGTTGGGCATTTGCGCTGGGGAGGTGGAATTGTGATGTGATTCTGGCGGCGGTGGTGGTGAATGGAGAGGATTGGTGCAGCAGATCAAGATACAGTGCCCTCTGACAGGAAATCTACATTCCACATTACACTTGTCAAGCCTGTCCCCTGAATGTTCTGTGGCACTGGGGGCCTATTGGACACACTTTCCAGTTTCCATCACTAGCCTACTGATAAACATCCCCAATTACCTCTGCAAAATTGGACTCCTATTGTCCAAGACGGAAATAAATTATTTTGCCCATACCTTACTTCTGTCAAATTAAGACCCCTCAGAGTAGGAGAATGCACCCTAGTAGAAGGCATTCTTACTGCCTACATTCACCCCACCCCATGGGCGCACAGCAGCTGGGATTTGGGAACAGGTCCAACAGCAGTGAGGTACGAGCAATAATCAGAGATACCATGTCTCTGCCCCCTCAAATGTTCTGCAGAATTTCTCCTGAAATATTCGCTCCCTTTTGATGTAGCTTTTAAACAAACTCTCTGAGACTGAGCTTACAGTCAGGGTGGCTAATCTCAGTTTCAGATGCTACAATTCCAGAGAAGGAGCTGTTGCTGCTGGAAACTTCCTTTATGTGGGGGCTGGATAAAGTCAGAGTTGGACTCAGATTTTAAGCATCCTGTTGCACAATGGTTTTCCAATAAGCCACCTAACATGTGTGTATGTGTGTATGTGTGAGGCCTGATTGGAAACAAGGGACCTCCATTAACGTTTCATAGGCAGAACACACGTCAATTACTCAAAACTCCTTCCGAATGAATCAATACCGCACATTTGGATCTGATATAAACATGAGTAAAAGTGCACTAGGCTCACTTCACATAGGAACCTGACCACTCTACTCTTTTTATTCATGCATGAGATGTAAGCATCAATAGCAAGGCAACATTTGTTGTCCATCTCTAATTGTCCTTGGCAATAGCTAAGAATCAATCACATTGCTAAGGGGCTGGAGTCAAACATAGGCCAGATGAAGTAAGGGCACCAGTAATCCATTGCAAAAACAACATGAGGAATCAGGGATAGTAAGAACTGCGGATGCTGGAATGACAGATAACAAGGTGTAGAGCTGGATGAACACAGCAGGTCCGGCAGCATCAGAGAAGCAGGAAAGCTGACGTTTCGGGTCAGGACCCTTCTTCAGAAATGGTGGGAGGAGGGGATGGGAGCTCAGAGATAAATAGAGCGTGAAGGGGTGGGGCTGGGGAAGGTAGGTGGGATGGTGATAAGTGAGTGCAGGTAGGTAATGGTGGGGATTGGTCAGTAAGGTGGGAGGGGTGGATAGGTGGGAGAGAAGATGGACAGGTTGTATCGGTTCAAGGAGGTGGGGATGAGAGGGAAGGTTAGACATGGGATAAGGCCGGGGGTGGAGATTTTGAAACTGGTAAAATCCACATTTAGGCCTTTGGACTGTAGGCTCCCAAGGCAAAATATGAGGTGCTGCTCCTCCAGTTTGCAGGTGGCGTCATTGTGACACTGGAAGAGGCCCAGATTGACTTTTAGGACAATCGATGGTAGCTGGTTAGCAGGGCCAAATCTGGCCTTCAATTCCGGATCAGTTAAAAAGTGAATGCTATTCTGTTGGGATTTGAATCCAGGGGTTACAGAGCATTCAGCAATGACGTACTGTCCCAGTTTCTTCTCTGGCAGGCTGAGATGTTTGAAAGCCAAGTTCTACGGGACAAAAAGATTCTTAGTGGAATCTCACGAAGTGTGACTCACATTGAGTTTGGTGGAAAGATTCCAGCTGCGAGGCTGAATGAGTTTTCTTTGGCATATCTTATGAAACAAGCAATTTTTATTGCCAGTGAGCCCTCGCAGTGAGATACACATTCTGCTTCTGCCAACTTACCATGCATCGTTCACGGACGACCTCATCATTCAGCAGGGGCCTCCATAAGACCAGTATCCCTTGGGGCGGCGCCATCTTTCAAAGCCCACTGTGCACCTATAATAGTGCTAGCATCTTCAAGCTATGCAGCTTAGCCTTGAAGGGCATCAGGACAAGGGGTAGGGAAGGGGAAGCTGGCACCAGCGAGATGTACCTGGAGGCTCTTGTGGATGGAACTTTGGAGAGGAGAGGGAGTCCTCTTCCTAAAGGACTGGCAAAGTAGGCCATCCTGCCATAACATGCCAGCCTGGTCAGAGATTGCCGCCTGGAATGGTACCATCTTCAGATGGAGGACTGGGAAGCACAGAATGAGTAGGACTGGGCAGCAGTGCAGGAAGAAGGTCAATGCTCTGCTCTCTGCTGCTTCACACATAACTGTGTCACCGCACCCACCTCCCACCAACACTTATGCTCAGACACCCCCTCTGTTGCACACATCTTTCCCAATTCCACATTAATAATGCTGCAAGACCTCTGCACTGCCTCCTCACACTCTCAGAAAACTTCAACTCCCTTCTCCACATGCAATGGTCCTAACATCCATGCCAGCCACTTGCATCTCATTCATTCGCCCTCTTTATGCCTTTACAGGAGAAGACGTCCCAAAACAGGCTGAGTGAAACCAGACAGCCGAGGGTGGGTACCAGATACCTGTGCTCTCATGCCCTCCAAGGAAAGGATAAATGTCTTAGCAGGAGAAGACAAGGTCTGCTCCTGTGAGGATGTGGAGACATCCATGTCCTGATACTTGAGTAAGTACCATTTGTAATCCCACTGCGATGGTCACATTAACCAGGCATCAAACACCACCACTAACTGCTGACCACAACGCCTTCTGCCCCTATGTCTTACATCTACCCAAGGACCAGTCCATCTACCACAGAGGAGAGTTCCTCGTCCTACCTGGCTCATTGTAGGGAAGCATTTGAGGGATCATTGCCTGCACTGCCCACCTGTCCTTTCCTTCCCCCAGTTCTGCCTTCACCTGGCCCTTTTTTCTATTTGGCCGCAAATTTTTGTGAACACTGGTGACAGGCCGACCGTGACCCACCCCCTCGAGCAACCTGACCTGACCAGCCAGTACTGGCCCTCACCTACCCAGACCTCTACCTGCTGCTCCCAACCATGACTATCCTCCCCCAGAACTGGCCCCTATGGAGACAAAGGACAGGCTGTGACCCAGTCCCTGCAGCAGGTAGGCACAGACCCTCTGTACAACACCACTCCAACTGGGCACACAACTATGGCCGAAGCCAAGGACTGCCCTTGACTACAAATGCTGGGCTCCCCCCCACCCCACCGACTGACAGGTGCTTCACGGCCTTCGCTGTGGACCACTGCCCGAAGACTTTGAGATATGTCCCACTGCTTGCTGCAGATGCTATGTGTTTGGCACAAACATGGAGGCCATGTGGTGCAGGTGTTAGAGATTCACGGCACACTGCTGTACAAGATGTGCTCACCCTCGACTAAGGATTGCTGCACAGCAGGACCGACTGCCTGTTTGCCGAACTAGGCCAATTGCCAATTCAAACAAAGCGTACCAGAGCAGGGCAAGTCATAAATGCTGAGGGTGTGTCAATAGGCACTAGGTGAATGCTGAGAGAGCAAGGGAACAGCCCCCTTAGGCAGGCTGGTCTACGCTGGGTATCTTGGATTCACTATGCAATACCTGTACCCAATGTGGCCATACACTGCTGACGGCTGGCGTGACTCCATGACCAGTCTGCCCTTGTAGGGCACAGTGCCAATGCATTGAAGGATGCCAAGATGGTGGCAATGCCTACGTGGAAATGAAATGGCAGTATCCGTGGTGGTAGAGTACAAGTGGCTGGTGCTAGGGGGAGCTGGGGGGTCCCTGTTCTCCTGGAACAAGTAGCAATTTGTAACCCGACAAGACCTCACCCTGGTCAAGATTTTCCGATGGTTAGTTTGTACCGTGAGTTCAGTAAGATCACAACCTGTGACTGTTAACAAGCCGCTTACCAAGCAACAATGAGGATCAATTGGTAACTTGCAGCTCCCTGGTGGGAGTCTCACTACACCGTGTGAGTAAAAGGGAGGAAGTTGTCACAAGATGGTCACAGCATCGAAATGACCATCTTGCCCGATTCTACTGCTCATCTAACCATAGACCTGGCTGTTTAAATCCTGATCCCACCTTCTGTGTTACTGCTCTGTCTTGTAATAGAGTCTAGTAATATGGAAATGGAGTTAAGCTGATACCATACAATAGGACCAACACATTAAGTACTGACATCCTTTCACTCAAAAACACTTCATCAAGTGACACTCTTTCCAAGGTTTCTTTTGTTTTCACTTCCAGTGACATGATTTTGGAACTGCATTTGGGATCTTCCTCAACACTGTTTGGTAAGAAAGAAGAGATAGTAGGAACGGCAGATGCTGGAAAATCTGAGACAACAAGGTACAGAGCTGGATGAACACAGCAGGCCAAGCAGCATCATAGGAGCAGTAAGGCTGACATTGCGGGCCTAGACCCTTCATCTTCTAAGGATGCCTACCCTGAAGAAGTTACCCTCCTCCCCTGATGGAAGGTCTAGGCCCGAAACGTCAGCCTTACTGCTCCTATGATGCTGCTTGGCCTGCTGTGTTCATCCAGCTCTGCACCTTGTTGTCTCTTGGTAAGAAAGAATATGTTTTTGTTCTTGCAGTTAAAGCATCCAGAAATCAAAGGGCTAATAATGCACTGAGAGGTGTGTGTCAATAGAATCTTTGTATTCAGCTGATGCCTACCTGGCACACACTCAGCATGCATTCCTTGCCCTGCCCTTTGATGATTAAAAGGCAGGAAATTGCTGGTTCATCTACAAGTTGGGACAGTGCTATTGTCATTTACAAAGCATTTTCTGTTTATCTCTATACCAACCAAACAAACCAGCTGCAGGGACCAAGGATGTTTTAGTTCCCAAAACAATTTACATGGCATGACTCTGACAAATAGACATGTATAAGGAGTCCCACCTTTTCCCTTTTATGCAAAGCTGAGACTAGATCTCTCTACATGTCAATACACCACCCTGTGAATCTTTTCCACTTCAAAAACAGAATTGAGAAATTAGTCGGAAATATGTGGTATTTGGACTTCTCCTGGAAACACCAAAATATTCCATAACCTGTCATTTAACATATTTCCATGATATCACTGCAAACATTAAGGCATTCACTGTTCAAGCACAGTGGGAAATCACAGAATTGTTACAATGCAGAAAGTGGCCATTCATCCCATCCTGCTTATACTAATGCTATTAACTTGTTCTAATCTCCTGCCTTTTCTTCATTACCTGCACACCTAATAATCACACAATGCTCTCTTGGATGCCTCAGTTGAACTTGCCTCCACCACATTTCAAGGCTGTACACTCCATACCCTAATTCCTCGCTGTGTGAAATGGAGCAAATGAAGACAAAGATAGGACTTTCAGCAGCATTTAATTTAGGAGGAAAGGCTGAAATACAAATGTACCAAAAAGACAGGCAGGAAATGATCAGCCGGTCAATCAAATCGCATCGTGACCAGACATATTCTTAATCCCCCAACACATTCCATGTAACCTCTCGGTAATGACTAGATTAGCAACAAACCAGAGCCAATAAAGGGAGCAAGTACTCTGGGATAAGTCCTCTGAGCCCCTCAAGCGATCAAAACAACTCCTGGAAATCACTTTACCTTCTGTATGCACTGCCAAACTTGTCAAGCGATCTCCAACTCCTGTAAAATCTTTCACTTAAGCAGGGATTAAGGTTTCTCAGTGTAAATGTTAAACTGGTATTCCACCATCCACATTTGTGAGCATAAACTCTTCTGTCATAGCCACAAATTTTGTCTGCATTTCACATCAGGGCACATGCGTTGAACCTGCTCTCCCCCCGACAACAGGGTTCCCTGAACATCATCTGATTTGAATAATTATTCCACATTCTAAGTCTTGATTGCGCCATACGTTGTCAATGCGGAGCCCTGAGGCAGAAGATATCCCGTACAGCAGCCGTCGTAACTGGAAGGAGCACTTGCCCTTCCTGTGGTGAGAGAGTGAGCCATTTGAGAGTCGTTCCTCCTGCCTTTCGGAAGATGGCAAAGAAGTATTCAAGGTCAAAAGCTGGAGGGAGAACTCAACCGTTCACAGAAAGGACACGGTAGCTTACGATGAGGCATGAAAAATGCTGCCAACTTTGGATCGAATGCATTAGGTTTACAGTTAGATAGAAACATAGAATCCCTACAGTGCAGATGGAGGCCATTTGGCCCATTAAGTCTTCAATGGCCCTCCAAGAGCAACATACCTAGAACAAACCCCTCTGCCCCAATTTACCATAGCTAATTAACTATTTACCATGGCTATTCCACCTAACCTACACATTCCTAGACACTACAGGCTAATTTAGCATGGCCAATCCACCTAACCCGGCACATCTTTGGACTGTGGAAAGAAACCGGAGCACCCAGAAGAAACCCGTGCAGACACAAGGAGAATGTGCAAACTCCACACAGACAGTCACCCAAGGCTGGAATCAAACCCAGATCCCTGATGCTGTGAGGCAGCAGAGCTAACCACTCTGCCACCTATCTGCCATCTCGCAGAAACTTAGCTTTTCAAACAAGTTTGTTAAGGTTGCTGTCTTGTGATCTGGAATATCTGGCATACGCTTTCCCAGTTGCATCCTCTCAGGGAAACAATTTGACTTGTCCTAAACCATCACATGGCAACCCCTGTTCATATGTCTCATGCTTTCCTCATTCCCAGGGAGCCTGACACTGATGATAAGGCTTCCACCAACAATCTATTAGTACTTGTGTTCTTTCAACTAGGAGTCAAAGCAGAGAAAAAGTAGCTGTGTGGGGCGCCCATACGCTATGGGAGAAGCAGCTGCTGGAAGGAGAGATCTCTCTGTGATGCAGGGGAGAACATGATCAAAATTCTAACCTTAAAAATGAGGTCAACAGAGTGGTGGAACTCAAGGAACGAAAGCTAATTGAGCAAGTAATTTTACAGCTAAATCTAGTTTATAACTTATGAGACTATTAAGTTTAATGTTTAACTAGTTAATCAGATCTGTGAATAAAATTAAAATTAATGAGTTACAGGATACCAACATGAAAGGCTACTGAGTTTACAATAGATTAAAATCTTACATATGCAAAGAATAGGAGCTAAGTAAATAGTGACATAAAGGAGCTGATAAACCAAAACAAGGAGCAGAGCGGAATTGAAGAGTGGGAATTGAAACCGTTTGAAAAGAGACCCTAATTTTAATTAAACAAATGAGGCAAGGAATGGCAAGAAGCACTGCAGTTACTTTATATGGCCATTGATAGAGAGCTTCATTATTCCAGAAAACCACAGCTGCAATCAGCATTATGAGAGACGTCAGCCTCTTGAGTTGTACAATTGGAGTCCTGTGGTGCAGAAAAGAATGGGCCACAGAGAGGGTTCTGTTACACATAAATCCACGGGGTAGTTACCATACCTTGGTACAGGTCAGGTAAGTGATCAGGAACAGAAGGGTGTGATGCTGCCAGTTGGGCAAGTATGGAGCCCCTGGCTAGAATGTTGTGGACCGTTGGCCTATTGACCTTACAGTGCATAGTTCTTGTTGCCCATGTAGATGAGCGCAAAGTCTACAAGGTGGAGGTAATTGGCACCATGATACAGGTAACTCTTCCAATGTATAGAATGAAGAAGAAAATGCAAATGACAGGAAATTGCATGGTAAATAGATGGATTCTGTGCACTGCAGCCACATCCAGGACTCCAAACATTTGTATGCCTGCCAGGTGAAAAGTTTGTGAACAACTCCTTGTGGCTGGAAAAGTATTAGAAAAGCGACAGGGAAGGATCCCACTGTTGTACTTCACATAGAAATCAATTGAGTAGTTAGAACTAGGAACGGGGTGCTGCTGAGAGAACTGAAGAGGCTAAGGTCATAATTAATATGTGGTGAATCAAAAAACAATAATTCCTGGGTTGATATTTGACACAGGGATAACAGAATAGATAACACAGAACACATGAAAAATGCTGCTATGTTTGGGTTGAAAGCATTGGGTTCACAATCAGGTAGAATCATAGAATCCCTACAATGCATATGGAGGCCATTTGGCCCATCAAGTCTGCACTGACCCTCCAAAGAGCAACATACCCAGACCAAACACCAACCCCCCCCCAATTTACCATGGCTAATTAACTATTTACAATGGCTAATCCACCTAACCTACACATCCCTAGACACTGCAGGTTAATTTATCATGGCCAATCCACCTAATCCTGCACATCTTTGGACTGTGGGAGAAAACCGGAGCACCTGGATGAAATCCACGCAGACACACGGAAAATGTGCAAAATCCACACAGACAGCTACCCAAGGCTGGAATCAAACGCAGATCCCTGGCTCTGTGAGGCAGCAGTTCTAACCACTGTGCCATGTAGCAGAAGCTTAGCTGCCCATGTGGCAGAATAGAAGGTTAAATGTGTGGCTGAAAGAGTGTTGTGGTATGCAGGGCTTTGGGGCTTCATGGGATACTGGTGCCAGTGCCAAGAAAGGGAAACTGTACCATTGCAATGTGTTCCATTTCACCCAGGCTAGTTGTGGTCTCCTGCCAATTTCAAGAAACAGAACCTCAAGCTAACAAATGTGTGGGCAGTTTGAAAAATCGTAAAGTGGTAAATTCAAGAGCACTAAGGGAAGCATCCAGATTGGAGGTTGGAGTATCAATTTGGGTTCAAATAGCGGGATTGGTCAGAAAAAGACACTGACAATGGTAATGAGACATTAGTGATGAAAGAAGTTATTTATAATTTGTAACAAACATACATTCTCTTAAAATATTAAAATATACACACTAGAATCATCCAATTGTATTTAAAAGATGAACGTAAAAGTACTAATAAACTAATGTTGCTGAGAAGTGTAATACACTTGAGGATTGGAAGGATTTTAAAATTCAGCCAAGGATGAACAATAAATTAATGAAGAAAGAAAGTTTGAGAGTAAACTAGCAAGTGGCTATAAAACTGAATATAAAAAAAGGTAAATAAAAGGGAAAGTTAGTGGAAGTGTGGGTCCCATAAAGTCAGAGACAAGAGAAATGCTAAAGAGGGATTGGAAATGGCAGAGACATGAAACAAATATTTTGCATCTGTCTAGACAGTATAAGATACAATGAAAAGTCTGGGAAGAGTAGGGAACCAAGAGGCTAGTGAGAATGAGGAACTTAAAGAAATTTATATCAGTAAAGAAATAGCACTGGGGAACTGAATTAAAAGCCAACAAGTCTCAAAGATGTGATAGCCTACACCGCGAGGTTTTAAATGAGGTGGATACTAAGTCTGGAGTTACATTGATTTTGATCTTCCAGATTTCTTAGATTCCAGAACTGTTCCTATGAATTGGAAAGCAGCAAATGTAACCCTCCTAAACAAGAAAGAAGTACAGAAAAATATGTGCCTACAGACCTGGTTGCCTGATCAGCATTAGGGAGAATGCTTGAGTCGATTAAAAAGGGAGCATTTAGAAAATCATACTCAATTAAGCACAGTAAACATAAATACCTAAAATAAGGGAAGGTAATAGTACTGTGGTAATAACACTGGGATTTTAATCAAGAGGCTCAAACTAATAACCTGGGGCAAAGGTTCAGATCCTACCTTGGCAGTTGGCAAAATGTAAATTCAATTAATAAAAGATGCAACTGAAAACTAGTTTACCAAAAGCCCATGTGGTTCACTGGAATTTAGAAAGCTCAGTTGACTGAATCTGGGGATAAGGAGGGATTGAGTAAGACTAGCCCAATATTCACTGGAGTTTAGAAATGATTTGATAATATTGAAGTGCTTGACAGGTGAGATGCTGAGAATCTCTGGGCTAGAAGATTAATAATTAACTTGTTGAATAATGGATTTGGCTCAAAACACAGAATGATCTACTCCTGCCCTTAGACTAATGTTTAGACATAAATTTAGCAGGGTGAGTTTAGCAGCCAATTTTGTGGCAATAGCAGAACTCAGGTTTCAGTCAACACTTCACCAATGTCTATGATTGCAGAAAGAGTAACCCACTATAACAATTAGCTGTGGGCTGTGAGACAGCAAACCTCTAGCTCCCAGCCAGCCTTCACATTTGTAGTATGATAATGCAATAGAAACAAAACAAACTAACATGATATAGCACAGTTAACAACCTCAGGAATGTCATCAAATTTCTCATAGCACAGTAAGTAATGTTGCCATGTTTAAACACAGCAACCAATTTGTACAGAATGAAGTCCCATAGATACCAATGAGAAAATAACCAATTAATCTACTTTACTGATGTTGCTGAAAGGAAAAGTTGGGCAGAACCTCACTGCTATTCTTTGGTAAGTGCAATGGGATCTCTTATAATAACCCAAAGAGCACTTACAGTTTTAGTGCCTCATCCAAAAGAACGGCATAACACTCCCTTAGTACTGCATCAATATGTCAGTACGTTTTGTGCTAAATCTTTTCATTTTCTGGCCTCTAATTCTTGATTCTTCCACCAATGTGAATAGTGAATACCACAATCAAATCTCCTCCACTCTTTGTACTTATTGAAGTTTCTCATCCCTGGGATGCACCCCTCTCCGGATATCAATTTTATTAATGATGACTGTGAATCCGTTGCTGATTGTTGGAAAAACCCATCTAGTTTACTAATGTCCTGTAGGGAAGCAAACTGCCATCCTTGCGCTACATGTGACTCCACACCCACAGCAATGTTGTTGAGTCTTAACTACCCTCTGGGTAATTAGGGATGGCCAATAAATGCTGGTCGGCCAGTGACACCCTCATCTCGTGAGCGAATTAAAAAAGCAGTGTCTAATTATGTGAAATACAAATCCTGATCACAAACAATCTTGTC